GGGCTGGGGATTCGAACCCGCCACCTTAGGTGTACGTGGCTGGTGCCTTAGCTGGTTGAGCTATAGGCGCCGAGCCAATTTTCACTTTTCTAACAAAGACATTGTGGAGAGAGTAAATAGATTGGCAAGGCTTTCCTACATCATCTCTGATGCTGTCTGGAGTCAGCTTATTCTTTTTTTTTTAGAGACAGAGTCTTTCTTTATTGCCCTGGGTAGAGTGCCATCACATCATAGTTCACAGCAACCTCTAGCTCCTGGGCTTAGGCAATTCTTTTGCCTCAGCCTCCCAAGTAGCTGGGACTACAGGTACCTGCCACAACACCCGGCTATCTTTTTTTTGTTGCAGTTTGGCCGGGGCTGGATTTGAAACCGTCACCCTCGGTATATGGGGCAGTGCCCTACCCACTGAGCCACAGGTGCTGCCAGAGTCAGCTTATGAAGTCATTTGCCCTCTCTGGTTGTGATTTCTGTCATCTTCCAGATTTGGCAAGCCTGTTGGTGCTGTGCATAAGAGGTCTTCTGTATCAGATTATTGTGTTTTTTAGTAAAATCGACACAGATCAGACAAAGCAAATTGCCATCTGCAGTATTGATATCAACCTGAGCTTCACTCACAGTCTGCCATTTTTTAACCATAAACGCATTTTGTCACGGTAAGATCTGTGCCATGGATGTGAGGCAGTTTTTGCCTTGAACATCTTCAGTAATCAGCTTGAATTTTCTAAATGCAACTTCATCATTTCACAGATCAGCAAGACTCACTTCAGACATTCAACCCTTGAGGCCATCAGATGCAATTTTGGTTCCTTGAGTCCTGGTGACTAGTGTTTTTTTCCAGTGTTTCTTAAATTGAACTTGAATTGAATTTACCTCATACCAGTCTTCTTAGGAAATGGATCAGTCACTTCTTGACTCCTTCTATGCTGACTTCCGTAAGGTGCTTATTCTTGCCAGCTGCCAGAGTAGTGCTCAAAGGGCCGCCAAAAGGAACACTCATTTTCTCGGTATCACACCACATTCTTTGGTAAACTTGTGTTCTGTTTTCTTCAGCATTTTTTTTTTGAGACAGCCTCAAGCTGTCCCCCTGGGTAGAGTGCTGTGGCATTACAGCTCACAGCAACCTCCAACTCTGAGTCTCCTGCCTCCGCCTCCCAAGTAGCTGGGACCACAGGCGCCCGCCACAACGCCCAGCTATTTTTTGGTTGCAGCTGTCATTGTTGTTTGGCGGGCCTGGGCTGGGGATTCGAACCCGCCACCTTAGGTGTACGTGGCTGGCGCCTTAGCCGGTTGAGCTATAGGCGCTGAGCCTTCTTCAGCATTTTTAATGAAAATGTTTAAACAGCCAAGAAAGTTGGAAGAATAGTACAATGAACATCCATATGTCTATCTGTTACCTGGGTTCAGCAGTTAACATTTGTGAACATGTATGTGTGGAAGCCATTTGAGAGTGACTTGCTGAAGTTGGGACCCTTAAGCCCTGAATACCTGACCGTGCGTCTCCCAAGAATGCTTTCTCCTACTTAAATGTGATATCATCATCACATTTAAAGAAATTGACAGTTCTCTAATCATCTAGTATCTGATCTGTATCCACATTTACCCAGTTGTCCTAAAGGGTCTTTTGTAACCTTTTTTTTTTTTTTTAAATAAGACTGGTTTTGCTGGCTTACCCAAGCTGGAGTGCAGTGGCACAATCATAGCTCATTATAACCTCAAACTCGTAGGCTCAAGCAACCCTCCCACCTCAGCCTCTGTAATAACTACAGAGGACTACAGACACATACCACCATAACTGGCTATTTTAAAACTTTGTAGAGACAGGGTCTGGCTATGTTGCCCAGGGTGGTCTTGAATTTGTAGCCTCAAGTGAACTTCCTGTCTTGGCTTCCCAAAGTGCTGGGATTACTGGTGTGAGCTACCTCGCCTGGCCTGTAGTTACCCCCTACCCTCCAAACCAGGATTCTTAGTTAAGAGTGTTTACTATCTCTCCATTCTCTTCTAATATTGAACAGTTCCCTCACCTTCTGTTTTTTCTTCCTATGACATTGACTGTTGAAGAGCTTGTCTTGAAGAATGCCTCATAGTGGATTTAGCCAGTTGTTCCCTTGTTGCTGATACCAGATTTTTTGAGGTTAGGGATGTTAGATCATACTTACTTTGTCCTCACAACTTGTAACATTTGGTATTTAAGTTCTCAAGTGATACGAGTCTAATGAACAAGTATGTGATTTCCTGTAAAGATGCTGTGCTCAGAGAGGTACAGCACTCACTGCTTGCACAGAAAGAGGGTAGGAAGTGTGGATTGTTTATTTAGATCAGAAATGTAATTCCTTCTTAACCTATCATGTAACTGAATATGTTTAAGAAGTATCATTAATGGCTGTATGTTTATTATCCACTGTAGCATTTGAAGCCTACTGAGTTTTATAACAGTTCCAGTTTGCATATTTGTAACCTTGGGGAGTAATGATGCGTATTTTTTGTGTGTTTTGAAATATTTGAACTATATGCCTTCACCACCTCTCTTTTCCTTTTCCTCCCAGAAACAAGAGTACAAATTCAAGAGTCTGTGAGAGGAAAAGATGTTTTTATCATCCAGACAGTTTCAAAGTGAGTAGTTATCCAGTAGAACTGTTGTTTTCTGGGCTTTACTTGGGCATGAGTATTTAGAATAATGGGAGTTGGCTAGACAGGCACAGTTAATGATAGTCTTAAGTTTGGTGTGTTTTACTCTGCTAATTTTTCTGATGTAACTGCTGACTTTTATGTATTCTTTCAGTGTTCTTGACGGGTGGAAATAACCAAGAATTGGAGTAGCAGCTCTTAATGAAAATAGAGCCTATTTAGTTTCTTTCTTTCTTTCTTTTTTTTGCAGTTTTTGGCCAGGGCCGAGTTTGAACCCACCACCTCCAGTATATGGGGCCGGTGCATACTCCTTTGAGCCACAGGCCCTGCCCATTTTTTTTTTTAAGAGATAGAGTCTCACTTTATCGCCCTCAGTAGAGTGCTGTGACATCAAAACTCACAGCAACCTCCAACTCCTGGGCTTAGGCAATTCTCCTGCCTCAGCCTCCCGAGTAGCTGGGACCACGGCGCCTGCCACAATGCCTGGCTATTTTGTTGTTGTTGTTGCAGTTTGGCCGGGGCCAGGTTCGAACCTGCCATCCTCGGTATATGGGGCTGGCGCCCTGCCCAGTGGGCCACAGGTGCCACTCTGGATGAATAGGTATTCCTGTCTGGTGTGACACTGGGCACACATGTGTTCTCACAGTTGTTGGGGTCACAGATGGGTGTAGAAGATTCAGTGCTACGAGGCTGTTTGTGCCACTCTGGAGGGGAGGGAATCAAATGGAGCCCCACCACTGTCCATGATGCACTTGTCCACAGAGGTCCCTCCATGCCTCTGTGTGTGCAGTTCTTCCCGCGGAGCAATTTTCAATAGTGTCTAGAAGTCAATTTATATAGTGTGTAATTTTTTAACTTAGTCTGAAAATTGCTGCATGCTGTGTGTGTGTGTATATGTGTGTGTGTGTATATATATATATATTTATATATAGTGTATATATATGTATATCCCAAATGTCAAGGGAATTTAGGTTTAGAACATACATTTTCACCTAAATTTTGAACATCTCTGTCTTGGTCTTTGGTTAATTGAGATGAAGTCATAAAAGTCCTGCAAATCCCCTAGGGAAGGGAGGGCAAGGGACCTATCATTATATCCCATTGCTCTGGAGTGTGGGTGTGCCCTGAAGGAGGGAGGGCATGGTCGTACCCTGGATTCACTTTGTACCTGGTATCCTCTGAGTGGGACATGGAGGGACCAGGTGCTTGCTGCCCCTGCTTTAGCCAGGGTGCTAGAGGATGACTCACTTGTGCCTGCACTTCACCCTCACTTCAGCATCGGGGTAGGGAAGATACAAGCACAGAGCTCCTGGGTGTCTGTAGTACTTTTATTTCCTTAGAGACACATGTAGATCCATTGGGTAAATGCCCAGAGGTTGTGTAGGTTACTCAAAGGGGTAAGTAGGCATTGAAGGCCCCTATTGGACTTAAAATTCAGAACTTTAGAAGGGTGACTGCGAATCCATTCCATTTGTAAGCTATTTTATTTCTCTTCTGTGTTTTTGTTCATTTCAACCCTTTCATTCTGTGCCCTTGCCCCTTGCTGTCAGTTTTGTATTCCTCAGGTCAGAAGCACTTAGCACCCCCTTCGTTTTCTCCCCATGCATCATCTTGCATTGCTGTGTATGTGCTAGGAGCTTGGTTAACTTGAGTTCTCAGCCGCATCCAGATTGCAGAAAACCTGGATGTCACGATCTTTATAAAATACTGAAAAATAGTATTGAAATTTGGTGTTGTCTGATGCAGCTTATGCTTTATTTTAGTATAGACTAGTGATAGGCTTATAACAGTTAAGAAAGTTTAAATTAAGATAATTCTGTCCATTAATTTGAAGTTCTGCAGTAATTCAAATGAGACTTCGATTATGTGAGTTGAGTGGTCAGAGCCCGTGCACATGCTCCTTTGATGGAGTACCTTTCTTTTTTTTTTTAAGTTTTTTTTTTTTTTTTTTTTGGAGACAGCCTCAAGTTGTCCCCCTGGGTAGAGTGCCGTGGCATTACAACTCACAGCAACCTCCAGCTCCTGGGCTCAAGCAAGTCTCCTGGCTCTGCCTCCCAAGTAGCTGGGACCACAGGCATCCGCCACAACACCTGGCTATTTTTTTTTTTTTTGGTTGCAGCCATCATTGTTGTTTGGTGGGCCTGGGCGGGATTCAAACTCGCCACCTTAGGTGTATGTGGCTGGCACTTTAGCCACTTGAGCCACAGGCTCTGAGCCAATGGAGTACTTTTCTTGGTGAAAAAGAAAATAGGGTTGGGCCAGGTGTGGTGGCTCTAGCCTGTAATCCTGGCACTCTAGGAGGCCGAGAGAGGATTGCTTGAGCTCAGAAGTTTGAGACCAGCCTGAGTAAGAGCGAGACCCTGTCTCTACTCAATAAAAAATAGAGAAATTAGCCTGGTGTCATATACATACATGTCTGTGGGCCCAGCTACTTGGGAGCCCAGGAGTTCGAGGTTGTGGTGGGCTATGATGATATCATCACTCTAACTTAGGCAACAGAGCAAGATTCTATTGCAAAAAAATAAAAAGTAAAAACTAAGGTCGTTAGCTGAGAGTGATTATGAGAGAAGCTGAAGGAGGCCTGGAAAGAGAGGAACTGGTCTCCTTGTTGTGCTGTATGTCTCTAGGGGCACGAGAAGCAAACTGCTGACGCTTGTTGTGAGGGGGCATTAGTGTTTTAGATCCGTTGATGGGATTTGCTGGGTCTTGGTTACAGGGATGTGAACACCACCATCATGGAACTCCTGATCATGGTGTACGCGTGTAAGACCTCTTGTGCCAAGAGCATCATCGGTGTGATCCCCTACTTCCCTTACAGCAAGCAGTGCAAGATGAGGAAGAGGGGCTCCATCGTCTCCAAGTTGCTGGCCTCCATGATGTGCAAAGCTGGTGAGTAGGAATGGCAGGTGCTTGACAGTTTGGGGCCTGGGAGTTTTATTTTTACCTCATAAATTTCAAGGTATTAACATTTTAAAATCAGAATACTAAACGGTAAAAATAGTGGTGCAGTTTTTAAATGTGATTAGTTTATTGTAAGAAGACAGTGCCGAGAATTCCCTCACAAGGGGGAACACAAAGGTAGTAAAAATGACTTATTTTTTCTATTTTTTTTAAAATTGTTAGAGTTGTTTTAAAAGGGGAAAAGTTATTCTGAATTCTATGACTGAATTCTAATACAGTAACTATTATTTTTAGCCTCATCCTTTTCCCAGGACAGATATGCATATTTATTTTATTTTTTAATTCTAATTTAATTTTTTTAAGAGACAAAGTCTTGGCTGGGCAAGGTGACCCATGTGTGTAATCCTAGCACTCTGGGAGGCCAAGGCATATGGATTGCTCGAGCTTAGGAGTTGGAGGCCAGCCTGAGCGAGAGCAAGACTCTGTCTCTACTAAAAATAGGAAAACTAATTGGACATTGTGACCATTGCCTGTTGTCCCAGGTACTTGGGAGCATGAGGCAGGAGGATCTCTTGAACCCAGGAGTTTGAGATTGCTGTGAGCTAGGTTGACACCTAGGCAACAGAGTGAGACTGGGTCTCAAAAAAAAAGAAAGACAAAGTCTTACTGTGTTACCCAGGTTGGCCTTGAACTCCTGGGCGCTGGAGCTGTCCTCCTGCCCCAGCCTCCAGAGTAGTGGGGACTTGTAGGTATATGTTACCACACCTGACTCAGAGAGTTATATTTATAAATCGTATGTGCTAAGTGTTACTTTGTGTTAGAAATTTTCAGGTAACATCTTAAGTATTTTCCCCTTGTTTCTAAATAATTTCCATGGTTGCTATTGTGTGTGTATTATTTGTGTATGTGTGTGCTTCTATGTGTTTATATGATTAAGAAGGTACATGTCACAGATCACATAACACAGATCCTTACTGTAGAATAAATTTTCTAAGGTAACCTTCCAGTAAAGGGAAAAACAAAACAAACTTTCAAACCCAAGCTCTCAGCAATCTCCCCCTTTGAAAATACTGTGCAGGCAACTGGTAAGGGGGACAGGCTGGCTTGCTGAATCTCCTGGAAAGGTTTCACCCACTCTTCTAGCTTTGTTCCTGGACAGGCTACCAGGCTCACTTCCCTGGTCTTTGGGGCGAGTAGTGCTTTTTAAAATTTTTGTTACCAAGGCTGGCTGGGGTGTAGTGGTATGATTAAAGCCTCAAATTCCTGAGGTCAAGCAGTCCTCCTGGCTCTGCCTCCTGAGGGCTGCAGTGACACACTGCCATGCTCAGCTAAATCTGACATTCTTTTTGTAGAGATTCTTTTTTTTCACCATGTTGCCCAGGCTGGTCTTGAACTCCTGGCCACAAGCATTCCTCCAACCTTACTCTCAAAGTGCTAGGAGTGTAGGTGTGAGCCACCATGTCTAGCTGCATTTTAAATTTTTTTGTATTGAATTTTCCCTGTATTTTTCTAGGGATCATTTCAGATGTCTTTAAGGATATGATAGGGATAAAGGTTCTTTATTTTCTGTGATTTCCAGGCTGGTACAGTTTGTCTGGATATCTTAAGATGGGGCTTTGCCATCCCTATTAAGGAAACTTTAAGGAGATGTAATCTGCTCTATTAGAATTTTTAGAGAGATTTCTGTATTGCTATTATCTTTGCTATATTAAGTTGATGTGAAAATCAGGCAACTCATAGTACTAAAAAATTTAAAAAATAAAGGTGCTGAGGTTTTTTAATGGGAGAACAATTTTCTAATAGCATTTTAAATTTCATACAGTGCAACTTATTTTTAAACTATTTATATGCTTCTGTCTGCTTTATTTTCAAAGGTCTAACTCATCTTATTACTATGGATTTACACCAGAAGGAAATTCAGGGCTTCTTCAATATTCCTGTTGATAATTTAAGAGCATCTCCTTTCTTATTACAGTATATTCAAGAAGAGGTGAGCTAGCTCAAACTTTTTAAACATTCTCATTGAGGTTAAAAGGTACATTTCCATTTCCTTGAGCTGACCCTAAAGGATTAAAACTTGGTATAATCTTTTGCTCAAGACACTATTAAACTTTATAAATGTAATTCAGTGTATTTTAGAGTTCTTGATCTGGGATTTATTTTGTTGCCAAGCTTTTAAAATTACTTTTTCTTGAGATCTCAAGATTGTAATCCTGATTGTAACAAGTAACTCACTCTTACTATTGCTCCGTGCTTGGTCCTGGTCCTTTCTTGTCTGTCCATCCTCTCTCTGTCCATCCATCTTTAGGTGGTCAGCACCCATGATCCTACTGCCCCCAAGAAAACTAAAGTCATCATCCCAGCTTACATAGCCCGTGTGCTCCTTCTCTGTCTCCCCACCCCATCTTCTTCCACCCAAGGGACTGTCATCCCGAAGGCTTTTGGATTTGTCAAGTGCTTTTTCTGTTCACTTGAGATAGTCATGTGGGATTTTTCCTTCATAATGTGGTACATTACGTTTATTGGTTTTTCTCATCCTGGGATAAATCAGACTTGTATAATTTTAATGTGGTCACATTTATTCTTTGATATAAAAGTTAGCACTTTTGTGACTTAATACTTAAGGAGCCTTCTTAAATTTTAATTACTATGACACTTAGCTATTTTGCTTTTAAGAACTATTTTTCTTGTATGAATTATTTTTTCTTACATTTCCAGAGAACAACTTTTTATAGTACTATATATTTAACAGATGTCAGTTTATAGATTTCAGAGGAAATTTTTTTCTGGTAAAAGTACATGGTCTAGCAATTACTGTAGGCCTCAGAGGGAGCATGTATTTAAGTATTTTTAAAAGAGAAAAATGTAAAATATTTTGCTTTTTGTCTTTAAAATTACACACAAACCTAAAAACCATAATAAGTTCAAAAAATAATATAGACTATAATTTTACCTAAATGTTATTCTCAGTCAAGTTAAAGGCAAGGGTGAGAGAGAAAAATCAGCAAATGTCTTGATGTGGAATCATTTAAAGGTCCAAGCAGAGGCTCTGCGCCTGTAGCTCAAGTGGCTAAGGCACCAGCCACATACACCTAAGGTGGTGGGTTCTAATCCAGCCCAGGCCCGCCAAACAACAATGACGGCTGCAACCAAAAAAAAAATAGCTGGGCCTTGTGGAAGGCGCCTGTGGTCCCAGCTACTTGGGAGGCTGAGGCAGGAGACTTGCTTGAGCCCAGGAGTTGAGCTGCAATGCCACAGCACTCTACCCAGGGGGATAGCTTGAGGCTCTGTCTCAAAAAAAAAAAAAGGTCCAAGCAGAGAGGAGCAAGAGGGTGACGGTTGCTGTGTGGCAGAGTGTGGTCCAATTCCCGACTAGATGGAGAAACCTCGCATTCTGGAGGGGACAGAGCAGTCCCTGTAGACTTGTGGGGGCTGCTGTCTGCATCTTGGGGTTGTGAAGGATGTTCCCACTCAGGACACAGCCATGTTGTATGCCACTGTCTCCAGGCATGAATGGCGATAGCAGCTCTCGTGGCCTGAGAGTGAAGGCTGCAGCATCCTTGTGCTGGAAGCCTGATGCTGGTCACTGCCTTTCACATGGGCTTCTGCCCCAGGACCGGCTGCCTTCTACCTGAAAAATCCCCATTTTAGGTTTCACAATTGAAAAGTAGTCCAGGTTGAGCTCTCACGATCTTCATGGTTCAGCAAATGAGGGGCATAGTCTTTTGTTTCTGATGCTGAACTAATTATGATGACTCTAAACATTTTAGTTCTAAAATTCTCTGTCCTTCATTCAAGGAAAAATTTTTTAAAAGCCATATAAGATTAAATACTACATGGAAGCTTGCTGCTAAAGTGGAATTTTTATTGTATTGCCTTTTTACAGTTTGCTTGTATGCTTTTGTTTTCTGTGTTAAAGCTTCTTAAAGCAGGGGAGAGACAAACCATATTTCACTGAATAAGATGCTGTCAATCAAGGCTTATTTTATGTCACCAGTGAAGAAGGAAGCACGGCTAACTACACTGTGCCAGTGCTTCTGTGTCACTCAGTGATGCTGTTGTGGTGCTGACGCTTCTCCTGTTGTGGTCCTGACACTTTCCTATTTGACAACTCAGGCTTTCTGTTTCTCTTGATTTTGACACTGGAATTAAAGCACCTTCTGCCAGAGTCAGAAGGAATGTTCTGGTGCCAGGGTGCTTGCAGCCTTGAAACTTTCATGGTCTGTTCTGAGGAGTCTGCCGGTGTCTCCTGCACAGCTGGGCGTGTGTCAGGCAGTCCTTGTGGAGTCAGTCCTTTTTACAGCTTCACCTGCTGGGAGGGATCTCTGCCTTCCCTGGATTTCTAAAGCATTTGCTGTTGCCTTGCAAGAACATACGGGGTTGAGCGCTTCCTCCCATGATCCACGGATGCTAACCCTGGCTGCTCTCCTGCATCTTTCTGCATACGCAGTAGCTTTTCACTGGAGTGAAAAGAATCATAGTGAACTCTTTCTGGAGACATGTTAAATGACAAACACAGCCCGATTAGAACCTGTCCCCATTTGAGCTGAGGACTGCTGGAATGCTGTGGCCACTGTGCGTATGAAGGGCGGAGAAAGCCCATCCCAGCTGCTGTGGACACTGCCCAGTGTGAGACACCTCAGTGTCAGGGACGCTAAAATACGACAGAAAGTGGTTTGGTGTTGCTTAAATACAGTTCATGGTTTTGTGGGGTTTTTTTGAGGGTATGGGGTTTAAGACAGAGTCTCTGTTGCTAGGCCAAAGTGCAGGGTGTCATGATAGCTCACTGGAACCTCGAACTCCGAGGATTAGTCCTCCTGCCTCAGCCTCCTGAAGTGGTAGGGTTATAGGAGTGAGCTGCTGCTCTCAGCCTCCAGTGCATGTTTTTGAAAAGTGGTTATATATGATGGTCTCACAGGGATTTTAAAAGGATAAAAGGAATAGTAAATAAAAAAGGAGGGTCACAATTATTGTTGTAATGTTTTTATGGTATATATTTGTATACATCTAATCCTATCTCTAGTTTTTTATTTTATTTTTTATTTATTCTTTTGAGACAGAGTTTCACTCTGTTGCCTAGGTTAGAGTGCCAGGTGTCAGCCTAGTTAGTTCACAGCAACCTCAGGGGATCCTCCTTCTTCAGCCTCCTAAGTAGCTGGGACTACAGGCACCCACCATGACACCCAGCTGGCTTTTCTGTTTTAGTAGAGACAGGGTCTAGCTCTTGCTCAGGCTAGTCTCAAACTCTAGAGCTCAAGGGATCCTCCCTTCTTGGGTTCCCAGAGTCTTAGGATTATAGGCATGAGCCACTGTGCCTGGCTTCCTTTTCAGTTTTTTATTTATTTTTATTTTTATTTAGAGTGTTCTGGTTCTGGAGTCCCGTTCCCCCCACCCCCCTAGTTTTTCTGAGTCTTTATATCAAGCCACTGTCATTATCCCAGAAATGGGATAAGAGCAGCAAAGGAGAGCGTGGGATGGGTGCCTCTGTGGCAGCACTGCCTCCCTCCCTCCCTCCCTCCCTCGCTCGCTCCGGCAGCACACGCAGAGGGCCCGTTTCCCCTGCCCTTCCTGACACATAGCGGCCCATCTGTGAAAAGTTTTGCCATCTTAGTTTGTAAACAATACTATATTATTTGAATTTTTAATTCTCTGATTTCTACTGAGATTGAGTATTTTATCGTATGCTTTTTGGAAGGCAGATGGTAAAATTCCCCCATTTAAAGTTTTATCTTTTTCTTGTGATTCAGAGTTTCACCATGTTGTGTTTTTGTGGCTCTTTTATCCCATTCCTCTCATTGGACACTCAGGGACCCCTTTCATTCTCTGGGAATTGTTTTTCTCTTGTTGGAGTGTTTTATTCCTGATGTTTCCTTTATTCTTTTCCTTTGGGAACTTTAGACCGTAGAGATTTAGATCTAGTCTCTATATTGTAACTTTAAAAAATTATTTTAATTTTTGCATGCTTATTTGTAAACATTCTGGGACAATTTCTTGGCTTTATCCTCCCAAGTGTTCCTTTTTTGTTGTTGTTGAGACAGGGTCTCACTTTGTTGTCCTGGGTAGAGTGCTGTGGCCTCATATTTCACAGCAACCTCAAATTGGGCTCATGAGATCCTCTTGCCTCAGTCTCCTGCTTAGCTGGTACTACAGGCGCCTGCCACAATGCCTGCCTAGTCTTAGAGCTCTGGCTCAGGCTGGTCTCGAACTGATGAGCTTAGGCATTCCGCCTGCCTCGGCCTCCCAGAGTGCTAGGATTATAGGCATGAGCCACCGCACCTGGTTTCTCCCAAGTTTTTTTTTTTTTTTCTTTCTTTCTTTTTTTGTAGAGACAAGAGTCTCACTTTATTGCCCTCAGTAGAGTACTATGATGTCACAGCTCACAGCAACCTCTAACTCCTGGGCTTAGGTGATTCTCTTGCCTCAGCCTCCCAAGTAGCTGGGACTACAGGTGCCTGCCACAATGCCCAGCTATTTTTTTGTTGCAGCTTGGCCAGGGCCAGGTTTGAACCCACCATCCTTGGTACATGGGGCTGGTACCCTACACACTGAGCCATAGCTGCCGCCCTCCCAAGTTTTTCTTAATGCAGAATTCATTCGGTCATTCCACTCCCCAGCTATTGACTTTATTATTTTAGACCATAATAACTTCCTCCTCCTTGATTTCTTTTTAATTCTTTATCATACAATTTTTTGCTTTATGTATGTGGTTTGACTCTGAAGAGGTGATAGACTTATTTTTATTGAAGTCTTTTTTTTTGAGACAGTGTCTCTGTCTATTGCCCAGGCTAGAGTTAGTTCCATGGCCTCCGTCTAGCTCACAGCAAGCTCAAACTCCTGGGCTCGGCCTCCTGAGTAGCTGGAACATGTAGGTGCCTGCCACCATATTCATCTAATTTTTCTATTTTTAGTACAAATGAGGTTTCACTTTGCTCAGGCTAGTTTCAAATGCCTTAGCTCAAAGGATCCTCTGAGTTGGCCTCCCAGAGGGCTGGGATTACTACAGATGTGAGCTACCCCTGCCCAGCCTGAGTCCTTTCTTTTAAGTCTCCTATTACTTGTTTTGTTAAATGTTTCCTAGGTCGGTTGGTATATTTTCTCCTCACTAGGTTTGGGGCTGTTTGATGATGTCTGATGCAACAATGTACATGAAGCAGTTTAGAAAGACTCCCAGAAAAAATAATGAAAGTGCCCAAATGAAAATGCCCTGAGAAGGCCAAGTAAATCAGGCTTTATGTAGATACATCTGATCCATGTGACTGTGCTGTGTGCACCTGCGTGAGATCTTCCTTCACATCCATCAGTTTTTTCTTCATCACTAGATGTTTCTTCCTTAGTGCTCTTAGTGTGCTGGGCATTATACAAGGTGCTAATTGTGGGAAACAAAGCAATGGAAATACATTTGAATGAATGAAATAATTTAATTTAATGAAATGGCTAGATTTCAAGAACAGAATTTGAAAATATTACCAAGGTAAAGAAACAGCAAACCATTGTTCACTTTTACTTTTTTTTGAGACAGAGTCTTACTATTTTGCCCTCAGTAGAGTGCTGTGGTGTCACAGCTCACAGCAACCTCAGACTCTTGGGTTTAAGTGATTCTCTTCCCTCAGCCTCCCAAGCATCTGAGACTACTTGGCGCCCACCACAGCACCTGGCTGCCATTGTTCAGTTTAAATGTAGTTCTGTCTTCTACACTTTCTGACCTTGATAATGAGTACATCTTTGATTATGATTATCACTACACAGATGACTTAAATCTTCAAAAGTGAGACGGCTCCAAAGCAGCTAATACTTTAGGGGTTCTTTTATGTGTTTTATTTTATGTTATTTTATTAAATCATAGTTGTGTACATTAATACTATCATGGGGTACAGTGTGCTATTTCTGTATACAATTTGAAATACTTTCATCCAACTGGTTAACATAGCCTTCATGTCGTTTTCTTAGTTGTTGTGTTAAGACATTTATATTCTACATTTAGAGAGATTCACATGTACCCTTATGGGATGAACCATAGGCGTGATCCCACCAATCACCCTCCCTCCACCCGTCCTCCCCCTCCCCTCTCCTCCCTCTTCCCTTTTCCCATATTCTTGGGCTAAAATTGGGTTATAGCTTTCCTATGAAAGCTATAAATTAGTTTCATAGTAGGGCTGAGTACATTGGATACTTTTTCTTCCATTCTTGAGATAC